TTTAATTTTCTAGAAAGAGAACTTGAACATCTTGATCCTCAAGTTTATTTGGGATCAGATATATTTTAAAATTTACATAGCTACTGCCTAATACCTGTAATCCCAATACTTGTGAAGCTAAGGCAGGAGGATCATCTGGAATTGTAAATTAGCCTGGGCTCTGTAGTGAATTTCTAGGTCAGGCTGGACTATGTAGTATGACCCTATTAAACAAATTTAAACTAAACAAACAAACAGAAGAACCAAAAAAGAAACCAGAACACTCTATGGTAATGAATTCACAAATAAAAATACCACATGGCTAACCACTTACACTTGCTTAGTCCCAAACTCTATAATCCAGTGAACTTCTATGCAGGTAGGATAGCCATTCTGAAGCAGTGGAGCTTCATGGAAGGTTTTTAAATTTGTTTTCATTGGGTTACTTTAAATCAGTGGTTATAGGTGTAAAGAATTTCTAGAACCCAAAGCCTGTCTGGTGGCACACGTCTTTAATCCCAGCACTGAGGAGGCAGAGGCAGATAGACCTCTGAGTTTGATGCCAGCCTGGTCTACAGAGCTGAGGACAGCCAGGGCTACACAGATACCTACCTCAAAGTGGGGGTGGGGGGAAAGAACTTCTAGAACTCTAAGGGAGTTAGCTGCTGCATAAATATATAATTCTCAAGAACCTTCAGAATGTTAAAGGACATGTCACATATATGGAAGGGACATTTTGTTCAGATTGTGTTCTTCTGTTATTTTCCATATTACAAAGGACTTCACATAATGATGATAGTAAAATAAATGAATAAATACATTAGAAAGCTGAATAATCTCATTTATAAGAGAAAGTTAACTCATTATCCTATTTTCTAATGTATAATTATTTTCCTAAAGAAAGACCCAATTTTGATTTTGTGTGAGGTCATCATGGATGAGAATTCTTTTGTAAGCGTTCTGTGTTAAATGTTGGAATAAAAAATTCCAGTAGCAAATGACACTCACGCCTTTTATAAACCACCCTACCACTTTTACCATACTAAAACAGCTTCCATGGGTAACAAGTTCAACTTGATTCGGGGCCCCCCCCCCGTTATCTCAGGCCTCTTATTTGGGAGGGTTACATAGTAATTTTTTATCACACTCATTAGAAACACAATTTGTTAGAACAAAGTCTGATGCACAAGTGTAATTACATCTTCCTGTGTGATTAAATGTGGGCTGCATGGAACTTTTTCTCAGGGGTGGCAGCTGTAGCCAGCCAAATTCAAGTTCACCCTACAATAGAATTCTTGTGACTAACTGGTGCTAATTGTTTGCAAAACAGCCAGTGGGAGTGACATTCAGGAACACTGGAAGTGAACTATTTCAGTACTGAATGCTTACCCCTTGTTTTTCTGCACTGTGTTGTGGTTAGAGGATGTTAATTGCTTAATCAGATAAAGTGAAATGAGCTTTTGGTCTATTGTAGTTGTTAGAAGAAATCATATCTTGTATCTCCTCTGTCTTCTCATTTTAAAAATGGAAGAATGGTCCAAGCTTGGTGGCACATACCTTTCATCCCAACACTTAGGAACGTAGGAGGCAGAGGCATGCAGATCTCTGTGAGTTTGAAGCTAGTCTGGTCTACAAAAAGTGAGTTCCAGGACAGCCAGAGCTACACAGACAAACCCTGTCTTGAAAAAAACAAAACAAAACAAAAAAACCAAAACAAAACCAACTATATATTTCTCAGGGAAAATATTGTGAATATATAAAATCACAAACACTCATATTTTGGCTATCTTGTATTTATTCTTTGACAGTTTTATGCATATATACATTGTCTCTCGATCCTATGCACCCTAACTATCCAGCTTCAATCCCCTTCAGACACCCCAACAAAGCTCCTGCAACCTTTACTTCTTTTTCTCTGTAAGCTATGGGGTCAAGTTAGTACTACCTCCTGAAATGTTGACCGATACTATTGGTTTATCTTGTGTGGGTAATCATAGCTGTCACGAGTCATGAGTGCAACAGTTACATCATATCCAGAGGATAGCATTCTTTCCCACCCTCTGGCTCTAACATTCTTTCTGTATTCTTCAACATTCCCTGAGACTTAGTGGGGTGGGGAGTTTGATATAGTTGACCCATTTAAGGCTGAATACTCAACAGTTGCTTATTCTCAACTCTTTGACCAGGTATGAGTGTTTGTTTTGACTTCTACCTAAAGCAAAAAGAAGCTGCTCTGACCAGAGTCAGGACAAGCAATAGTTTACAGGTGTAAATGTATTTGAACCCCAGAGCCTATAACCTCTTGATTCAGGAGCTTTTGGTCAGGTTTATAGTAGCAGGTATGATTTTCCTCCTGTGGAGCAGGTTCAAATCAGTCAGAAGCAGTTGGATATTCCCATGACCTTCATGTCAGTATTGCACCAGTGGGCACATCTTGCCTGACAGGTCAGTTTTGTCGTGTTGACAGTTCACTGCTGCGTAACTAACTCTATTGATACCCTGCCTCCCCAGCAGCCTGCATATCACTTTCTAGCTCTATAAAACCTAGCTAGCAAAGTCAGTGCTAGCGTGATTTCTTTGTGCTTGGCAACAGAATGTGGTGTGTCTTAAGCAGCAGGGTCTTTCCATCTAGCTTTGGTAGGCAACCAACAGAAAGTGGTACTAGCATTTGTTGTTTTGAGGGACTTTTGGGGCCTCCCTGATCAATAATTCATAAGGAGGAATCCCACATCTGGCGCTGAACTTTTCATTTAATAATCCATAAACATTCAAAATTTTAAGGAAGCAATAAATTCCAGTTGTCAACTTGACTGTTTGAAGGAGGCACACCTTTGGGTGTGTTGGTGATGATGTTTCCAGAGAGGCTTAACTAAGGAGGCAAGACTCTCCTTGAATGTGGCAGCATCATCCCATGGACTAGGGTCCAGGACTGAAGCAATAATCCCAAAGGACTTGAGAAACTACTAATTTAAGTCATTCAGGGAATTCAGGGAGGGAGAGAGAGAGAGAGAGAGAGAGGGAGGGAGGGAGGGAGGGAGGGAGGGAGGGAGGGAGGGAGAGAGAGAGAGAGAGAGAGAGCGAGAGAGAGAGAGAGAGAGAGAGAGAGAGAGAGACTGACTCTGATTCTAGGACTGGCTGTTGAGCTCAACACAGAAGTGGAGTTCAAGAGTAGGAGGCCTGGACATTCTGGACATCTGTGCTGATCATAATTGCTATGCAATGTCTCTTTCTCCAGTTTTACTTTCCCTTGTAATTTGCATAGACAAGGACAGCGTTGTTGCTATATGTTGCTGTAGCACATTTTATGGAGGGAAGGGACCCACAACTTGAAGAAGTTGGTGAGGGAGGAGTGTGTGAGTCAGCTCTTTCAGAGCGACAAGACACAACTAAAATTCAAGTTCATGAAAGTCAGCTTGCTAGCTATAACAGGATCTCCTGGGATGGTAGTTGCTTTAGACATAGTTGAATCTAGTAGCCCAAAGGATACCATTCCTTTTGGTGCTGTTTTTCTCAACATCTTGTGAAGAACTATCATTATGAGGTAGGACATGTGGACAGCTAACAGTCTTGTCAACCTGCCAGCCTTGGTTACTGACTCCAATGCAAGAAGGCATTCCTCTTTTTTAAAATTTTATTTTATTTTGTTAATTTTCTTTTATATGTGTGATTCCTTTGCTTACTTGTATGTATGTGGACCACACATATGCTCGATGCTCATGGAGATTACAAGAAGACTCTGGAACTGGAGTTATGGATGGTTGTGAGCCACCATGTGGGTACTGAGACCCAGTTTCAGGTCCTCTGCAAGAGCAGTAAGTTCTGTTAACCGCTGAGTATTTCCTCTTTTAAAGTCACATTCATCTCAGAAATGATCTAGCATGAATCATGTCTACCATGCTCCACAAGGGTACATCCATGGGCCACCAGGTTGGATGGGGTCCACTTTACCATGTGAGCGAGTGGAGAGTGAGGAAGGTCCTTAAAGGGAGGAGGAGGAGGAGGAGGAGGAGGGGGAGGAGGAGGAGGAGGAGGAGGAGGAGGAGGAGAGCAGATTCTAAGTCTTCTAGTCCAGATGTTTTCATACTAACAGAGCTCATCTTGGGCTTTGTGATACTTCAAAAGATACTAAAAAGGAATAGGGCAACGTGCGGTGCACAGGCCTGTAATCCGTTCCATAGGAAGCTGAGGTGGGAATCACTGTGAGTCCGAGGCTAGCTGGGTTACCCAGTGAGACCCTGTCTCAAACAAAACAATCATCATAAAAGAAACAGTATGAAACACAGTATTTTATACAATTAATAATGCTAGTTTTTTTAAGCAAAAGATAAAAAAATAGTCATTCAATTAAGAAAAAAAACCAACCAGTCAGAATTGTTTGTAATTAATTAGACTTTGCTGATGGCCCAAGTAACTAGTTCACAGCAGAGGTGCATTGCTCTTAAATGGCAGCTGGAATGCCTTCCTCATTTGCCAAAGCACAGCTTTCCCGGAGGGATTTGCAGAAAAAGCAAATCTGTTTCTGATTTTAATACATCCAAAGGCAAGTAGGCTTTTGACCATTTACTACCAGGTCCCGAGATCAATCACTTCCTACACCATTAGTGCGTGAAGGATTAGTGGCCCCAAAGATTTATGTGTGGATTAATCGGGGAGTGTACATCAGATGCTGTGTTTAAAGCTACCCTCATCCCTGCAGATCATTTCTGTTAGTGCTGTATGCAGAGCACTCTAGCTTTACCTAATACTGACATTGTGAGATCTGAAAGACCTCTTTTCACCCGTGGCCTGGCATGCCCCTACACCCTCTGATTGGACACATCCAGCTAAGGAGACACAGAGTGCTGGAAAGAAAGGAACAGCAGCATCCAATAGAGCGGATGTTAATTGAGTTGTTCTAGCCAAATAGTGACCAAGATTTACAGGACCGTGTACTGAGAAAGACAAGATGAAGTACAAGAAATACATGGCTATTTTGGAAGCAGCGGTGGGTATTACCCCACTTAACAAAAGAGAGCTTCTACCTGAGAGCCGGAGGCACGTAAACCTTTGGCAGCATCCTGGGTAAGCAGAGGAGGCCCAAGCTTCTCTCCTAATGATGGAAACAAGTTTTGGCTGTTTGGGGGACCAGAGAGAGAAAAGGGCCTCTCTCTCTCATGGGAATACCAGTGTGAAGTTCATCATTGAGAATGTGTTTTCTTTCTTCCTCTGAGCATCTGAGAAGAGGAAGTAATGGCATGTTAAGGATACACTTTTACTATTTAGATTTTCAATGGTGTGTGTGTGTGTGTGTGTGTGTGTGTGTGTGAGTGACTATATTTCAGAGATATTTAGCTTCAAACAGTTTTCCCATCACTATTCTTTGTGCGGCCCACTGATTTGCCTTACTGGAGAAAGTTTAGTGTAGTTTTTTTTTTTCCCCAGGTTCGTGGGTCTTAGTGCAAACATTTCTAAGGTCCTCCTTTTGTTTCTTTGCACAATGAAAAGCTGTTGTTTAAGGTGCCTGCCTGCAGGATAGACAGTATTTTCAGGGTCTGAATTTTATTTTTAAGCTGCATGAGTTACACAGCAGTAGTCACCAGCCAGTATGAGGCATCTTTCATACGTGGAATTTCTTTTTAAAAATTAAAAATACTGGTTTCATGATATACTCATTATGGAAGATGTAGAAAATATAGAAAAATGGGTGGATTATTTATACTTTCATGTCCCTAAGAGAATCCCTAGAGTCATGAAAGCCAGTGCTTTTTAGTGTAGGGAGAGGAAGAGAATTTTGCCCTCCTCTCCCAGAGGACATTTTGTAATGTCTTGGGGGCATTTATTTATTTATTTATTAGAATTCAAGGTTGGTGCTGGCCATATCCTACCATGTGCAGGACAGCCCCTCTGAAACACAGTGACTGTGCTACAAATGCCAATCTCACTGTGCTGTAGATATTTGGTTGAGGTAGATTTTTTCCTGTCTATAAAAGGAGTTTTTTTAAATTAATTAATTAAATTTTAGACAGTTTTTTCTTTGGTGAGTCTTAGGTCTGTGATAGAATTTGGAGACATTACTATTATTATATCATTCACTGTTTTTCTCCTGAAAGTAAAGTGTGGAGAGGTCATGCTATAATGAACGGACTGGTTTTTGTTGTTGTTGTTTGCTTTTGGTTTTTGTTTTTGAGACAGGGTCCTTCCATGTATACTGACTGTCTAAGAACTAACTATGTAGTTGAGGCTAGCCTCAAACTCATAGGTATCTGTCTGCCTTGGTCTACTGTGTGTTGGAATAAAGGCATGTACTATCACATCTGACAACCTTTTTTTAAAAAAAAGATTTATTTTTATTATTGTTTTCTTTTTAATCAATTATAGCTTTACTGGAGTCCTATCAAATTCATCTCTCTCTCTCTCTCTCTCTCTCTCTCTCTCTCTCTCTCTCTCTCTCTCTCTCTCTCTCTCTCTCTCTCCTTTATGTGTATGGGTGTTTTGCTCTGTGTCTATCTGTATAACACACGCATGCCTAGTGCCAGGAGAGGATGTTGTCAGATTCCATGGAACTGCAGTTACAGAGGGTTATGAGCAGCATGTGGGTGCTGGGAATTAAACCTGGATCCTCTGGAAGAGCAGCCAGTGCTCTTAACCACTGAGCCATCTTCCCAGTCCCAAAATTCTTCTTCTTATTTTTCAAAATGAAAATATATCACTACTCCTTTCCCCTTGAACTCTTGGCAGTCCTTCAACCTGCATTTCCAGCACACTCACAGAGGATACTGAGGGGCCAGATGATGCTGCGGGGTTGGCACATGGGCCACACAGCATCCAGAGACACACTTCCTTTTGTGTTTGCTGTCTGTCTTGAGACCTGGAACATTTGGATTATCTTGATGGCTTTTTATCCCAGTTCCTCCTCCCCCAGAAGCTGTTCAAGATCTCAGTGGCAGGGAGGTAGATTGTTGGCTGTACTTCTGTGAGAGAAAATTTCCCTTGAGCATTCTGCATGAATTGGGCATGCTGTTGCGTGCCTGTAACCTCAGCGCTGGGGGAGTGGAGGCAGGAGAATCATTTATTATAACAGCTACAGCATAAATTTGAGACTAGCCTGGACTACATGAGATTGCACCCTATCCTCCCTACTCCAGGAAAAAAAAAACTATGTAATAATAAGATGTTATAGACACACAAACAACTACAGTAAAAAGCAAGCTGCTTCAATAAAAGAAACTGTTTAGACCTGATACCTGCAGAAAAATCCCACATTTAGGCCAAAGGCGTAACCAGGCACATCTTGATTTGCTTGCCGTTTATTTATCTTTGGAAGTAATAATAGAAACTACGAATGGGCTGGGCTCAATCTTCTGCTTGCTTTGTAGGAAGTCCAGATGACCTTGGGTTAGCCTTAGCCTACATTTCCTACTGATCCTTGGAGAGGGGAAATGCGCCTCTTGCCTGAACAAATAAAGTCGACACCGTCCCTTACTTCTGGTTTGGCGGTGTGGGAAGAAGAGGGTTTAAGAGGGAAGAGCCGGTATTTTTTTGTGCCGCAAACACAAGAAGTGGGTCCAGAAGTGGCAAGAGGGCACATTCTTCCTCCCACGGCAGGATTCCCTGGGACTGCCTCAGCGGAGCCCGCACAGCCCAGGTTTGAGCTCGCCCCCTTGTGGTAGTGGTCAGCAATGTGGAGGGTTAAATGTTCTTTAACAGAGCGATAAAAAGAAAACCTGTCTCGTGATGATAGTGGTCAGGTCAGTAGCACAAGGATATAAGCCAGTTTCCCTGAAACCATGTAGAGGAAACCCTTTTGTTTCTTGTGCTTTCTCTTTGTTCGCTTTAGTATACTAAATTTTGTGTATATTTTACTATATTAAAACTTTCCTTCCAGGTCTGGGAGACACACCTGCACTTGATGGGAAGAAATAGGGTTGAGTTTGAGACCAGGCTAGGCTACATATTGAGACCCTGTGTTAAAGCGGGAAGTTTTCTCTGTTTCTCAGCAGGAAAAAAAACCTGCTAAGTTTTCCCCCTTGTACACAGAAAGTAAATTCTCTGATATTCTTGTACCTGGGGATTTTCCTCAGGTAGGCTGGGCCTAGCCCAATGCCTATCAGTTGATAAATAGATGAATGGATGGTGGTATGTCCATACAGTGGAATGTTATTTCATTCACGGCTGTTAGAAGCAATGGAGTATTGAAGGCTGGAGACGTCAGCTCAATGGTTATGAGCGCATACTGCGCCATCACTGCCTGGTGCACGCCTTTAATCCCAGCACTCAGGAGGCAGAGGCAGGTGGATCCTTGAGTTGAAGGCCAACATGGTCTACAGAGAGAAGTCCAAAAAAGCCAGGACTACACAGAGAAAAACCAAACCCAAAGCCAAAACCAAACCTTGTCTCAAAAAGCCAGATAGAGCTAGATGGTAGTGGCGCACGCCTTTAATCCCAGCTCTTGGGGAACAGAGGCAGGCGGCTCTCTGTGAGTTTGAGACCAGCCTGGTCTACAAGAGCTAGTTCCAGGACAGCCTCCAAATCCATAGAGAAAACCTGTCTCGAAAAACTAAAAAATAAAAAGCCAGATAGCCAGATAGATAGATAGATACATAGATAGATAGATGATAGATAGGTAAATAGATAGATGATGCATGATAGATAGATGATAATGATAGATGATTGGTAGATAGATAAAGGGTGCACACTGCTCTTGCAGAGGATTGGCACTTAGTTCCCAGCACCCATGAAAAGACCCTTGCAGCCTCCTGTAACTCTAGTTCCAGGGGGTCCAATACCCTTTTCTGGCCTCAAAGGGCTCTTTCATGCACAGGCACACACATGCATGTAAATAATTTTAGAAACTCCAAATCCCCAGAAATGGAGTTACAGTGGATTGTGAACTGCTATGTGGGTATTGGAAACCAAACCTGGGTCCTCTGCAAGAGCACTTTAACAACAGAGGCAATTCTTCATGTATGTATGTATATATGAATATATTTATTAAGTGGGTTCTGATACATGCTAAGGAAGAACCTCAAATATGGAATGTTAAATAAAAGAGAAGTTGCCATATAACTGTCACTATTGTAACAGACATTCGCATGAAATACACAAAATAGATAATCCTAGGAGACTGGAGAGACAGCTCAGCAATTAAAAGCACTTGTTGCTCTTGCAGAGGACCTGGGTTTAGTTCCTAGCACTTGCATGGTGGCTCACAACTGCCCATAATTCTAGTTCCAGGAACTTCAACACACTCTTCTGGCTCCTGAAGGTACTGCATACACATGGTACCCAGACATACATGCAAACAAGAAACTTATACACATAAAATAAAAATAATTTTTTAAAGAAATGACTTACAAAAAATAGGTAAATCTCTAGAAACAAATGAGATTGGTAATTGCCTAGGGTCAGAGGGCAGGGAGAGAATTGTGGGGCTGGGGAGTGATTGTCAATGGATGTTGGGTTTCTTTGAGGGGATAATAAGTGTGTAAGTCTGTGTACATTTAAAAGCCATACTATGGGGTAAGCTATGATATGTCGGATGTCACTGTGTCCCCCAGATCTCATCAAGCTGTAGTAACCGTACTGTCTCCTCCAGGGTGCGGAGCACTGCCCTACTGTCCTCTCCCTGTGAGTGGGACTGGCACCCAGGCTACAGCACCAGGCTCAAGCACCCAGCGAGTCACAGACCAGTGTCCACCTACAGCCTGTTCTCCCAGGTACCTGCTTACTTGTGTCTTATTAACCTAGTCACTGGCTCAAAAATTTGATGTTATTTCACATCATCAATAAAGATAAAAATAAACACATAGTTGGGGGGAGTAGCACTTAGTGTGCCTGGTGTCTGAAGTTGGAGAACATTTTGGTAGGTCACACATGTAGTTCATCATCATTGATATGGCAAAATTATGTAATAGTGGGAGGTACTTGTTTGTCTATTAAAAAAAAAGAGCACACTGGCTTCTGAGGATGGATTTTGTACTCAATTTTAGTGAGGAGCTCAGAGTGAGTATTATTGTTACAGACTCACTTTTAAGGATGAATTAGACAAGATTTACAAGGTATTAGGCTTTATTTTGACAGATGCTTGGGTGTATTAATCCTTAGTTTGGGTTTAGCCTCTGATGTAGCTCGTCTGTGGCTGGCCGGATGGAGTTGGACTTTTCTTCGTGTACTTAGATCATAATTCTATCTGCTTCAGCTGGCTTCTCCTACTTGTTTGGGGAACTAGAGTTGAGTGGTGTGGAAACTGCATATTCCTGAATGACAGGAGGTTCAGGACCCAGGCTGTGGCTTTCTTATTGTATGGCTTTAGATACAGGTCTAATGTCTGTGAACCTCAGATTCAAGGCAAAGTCAGCTTGAACCTAACAGCTTAACTAGTAGCCAAGACCAGGCACATTGCAAGACCTTTCTTGGAGTCTGGTTGCCTGAGATTGTTTTAGTCAAATTTTTGGTTCTGTGACAGAAAGTCTGACATAAACAACTAAAGAAGAGAAAGAAACTGATTTAGGCTTACATTTTCAGCATTTTTAGTTCATGGTCATCGTGCTCCGTGTTTCTGGGTCTGTGGTGAAGTAGTGCATCATGGCACAGAGGTTGCTCACTTCACAGCAGCTGGAAAGCAAGAGAGATAGGAAGGACACAAGACAAGATACAGTCACATGGATATGTCCCATCGCCAACTTCCTGAAGCCAGGCCCTGCCTCCTGAAGCTTCTAGCATCTCTAAAATCTAGAGACCTAGTCTTGAATGCATGAAACTGGTGGACGTTTTATATTTAGACCCACCTGAGCACTCTTGAATGGAGGTAGACCTCATCCACTGAATCCATGGGGTTATCAGTGGGGTTTGTTTGTTGGGACATTCTGTACAGAGTTCTGAAAGGTCTCAAATGTGAGGAAATTTGCTTATCCAGGCTGCAGAAGTGCTTTTTTTTTTTTAAATCAGAGTTCTAGATGGGATCTGCTAATTTGGTCAAATCAACTGGAAGGATAGTGTGGAATATGGCAAAGGGTGTCTCGATCCTCTGAGATGTTGAAACTAAAGAACTTGAGCTGTATAACTTTAAAAACATCAAAACTCTTGTGTGTGTGTGTGTGTGTGTGTGTGTGTGTGTGTGTGTGTGTGTGTGTACTGAGCCCAGGGTCTTGTGACTGTTAGGCAAGCGCTCCAACCCACAGAGCCAGTATCAAATCACCAGTGTATTTAGCATCCGATGAAGGACCATTTCCTCATACTTGCCATCTTCTCACTGTTCTACTGAGAGCTTTTTTTGTTTTGTTATTTTGGTTTTTGAAACAGGGGTCTCATTATATCACCTCAGACTCATCAAGATCTGCCAGCTTCTGTCTCCTAAGTACTGGGACTGAGGGAGTATGTCACCACCCTTTATGTTTTTTTGAGACAGGGCTTCATAGTGTACTCTTGGCTGGTCTGGAACTCTCTATTGTAGACCAGGCTGGCCTCGAACTGCTAGTGGTCCCCCTGTTTCTGCCTCCTGAGTGCTGAGATTGACTGGTGTGTACTGCTACAGTCAGCTTGGAGTCTCTTTTATAAGAAAATTAGTTTTGAGGGCAGAGTCCCCATAACCTAATCACCGCTGAAATGCTAAGTGTGTGTGTGAGTGTGTGTGTGTATACACGAAAAAGCATACTGTAATTGAGGGATCTGAGCTAGCATTGCCAGCTGTAGAAATGTTCTTTCAGGCTCCAGCAGGTTCCTCTTGGGAAGTCCTTCTTTGTTCTGATTTTTTTTTTAAAGATTTTATTTATTATGTATACAATGTTCTGTCTGCATGTATGCCTGCAGGTCAGAAGAGGGCACCAGATCTCATGACAGATGGCTGGAAGCCACCATGTGGTTGCTGGGAATTGAACTCAGGACCTCTGGATGAGCAGTCAGTGCTCTTAACCTCTGAGCCATCTCTCCAGCCCCTTTGTTCTGATTTTTTAACTATGACTGGCAAGGCTTCACCACAACAGCCAGGCTCCCGAAGTCAGTTCCTGCTTTTTGATTTGTTAATACAAAACCAGACAGGGAAGAGAAAGGAAATAGACTGCCAGGGTAATAGTTAGACTTGTTCCTGATAAAAATGGCAAGTTACCGGTTTTGTTTTAAATGTAAGTCTCAAGGAACATGGGGATATCTTGGACATCACCCTTTGGTTAGTTTGTTTAAAACACAAGTCAGCCAGGCATGGTAGCTCACACCTTTAACCCCAGCACTGAGTTGGAGGCCAGACTGGTCTACAGAGTTCTAGAATAGTCAGGGCTGTTACACAGAGAAACCCTGTCTCAAAAAACCAAAACATGCCAGTGGGTGGTGGCACATGCCTTTAGAGGCAGGTGGATCTCTGAGTTCAAAGCCAGCTTGGTCCAAAAAGCGAGTTCCAGGACAGGCTCCAAAGCTACACAGAGAAACCCTGTCTTGAAAAACAAGCAAGCAAACAAACAAAGAAAAAAACCACAGGTCAAGTACTCTCCCTTGATTAGCTGGGACCCACACTTGAACTTGCTTTATTATCTCACCTCTCTTAGAGATACTCTTGGATATACTGTGCTCGACTTCTGCCGAAAGCCTTTCTCAACTCTTGTGCTGATGCTTTTGCAAGACATCTTTACTGAGTCCCAAACTGCTTTGCAAACAAACAACTAGGTCATAGCTTGGGAGGCAGGAAAGGTCACGTGCACTGTGGAACTTGAATAAAGTTTTCATTACTTAAGTCAGTGCAATGATCCATGCCTGCAAACGCATCATACAGGAGGAGGATTGCTGTGAGTGAGTCTGAGGCCAGTCTGGGGTCATAATGAGACCCTGTCTGGAAAAAAAAAGTTTTATTTGTATGGTTTGACCTGGGCTGCGCATGCTTATTAGGGAAGACTTTGATTTGCCTTCTTCCATGCCTTTCCTAGGGCTCTCACCCTGCTGACTCCATAAGTGTGGGAGTAGCTTGGTGCAGTCAGCCTCTGAGAACATGAGAACACTGCCAACCAAGCTCTCCCAGACGTCCTGGGGCAGAGGCACCCAAACCAGGCATCCCAGTCACCATGCATTCCACTTTAATACACACCAGGAGAAGCAGGGAGAGAGATGCGACTTGTGATGCAGATGGGACACACTTCCTTTTATAATAGGATTGGCTTCCCATCTGGCATGTGGTCACAAAACGTAGATGACAGGGACAAGGTGTCTGCTTACTCTGCTGTGGTGAGGACACAGGGCAGCCTTGTCATAGCTGTAATTTACCAAGAATCAGTGCTTGCCAGGATATGATGTGTGTCCTCACTACTGTCTACCATAGGGATGGCAGCTGTCAATCTGGAGGTAATGTGTGTTCCATTTTATTGTAGTACTAGTATTTATGGACTATGCTAACAACTTATAAGATATTACAATTATATAAAAATACAGTTATGGCCTGAGAGGTGGCCCTGCAGTTAAGCGCACTGGCTGTTCTTCCAGAGGACTCAGATTTTATTCCCAGCACCCACGTGGTGGCTCAATAACATCTGCAACCCCAGTTCCAGGGCTTATGATGCTTTCCAGTGGCTGCAGGAAAACACACAATGCACAGATATACATGCTGATAAAACACCCATAACCACAAACATTTAAAAATATAAGTATCTTGACAGTCTCTAAACCAGTACAAAAAAGAAAAAACTTTAAAGAATGATGTGATATGTTGGAGTGTCTTCTTACTGATGATTTATGCTTTATGAAAAGATAGCCAAGCAACATTCTTTTTTTTTTCTCCCTTCTTTGAGACAGAGTTTCTTTCTGTAGCCTTCTTTGGAACTCACTTTGTAGACCAGGCTAGTCTTGAACTCACAGAGATCTGCCTGACTCTGGGTTCTATGTGCTGGGATAAAAGGCATGTGCCACCACCACCCAGTAACATTCTTGGTTTTTAACATTATTTTTATTTTGGGATGGTGGTGATTGAACTCAGGACCTCCCATATGCTAAAAAAGCACATGTACCACCACTGAGCCAAACCTCTATCCCTATGATAATTATTTTGGTGGGGGGGGGCAGTTATTTTTCAGACAGGGTCTGAGTGTGTAGTCTTGACTATTCCGGAATTCACTGGACAGACCAGCTGGCCTTGGACTCACAGAGACCCACCTGCTGCTGCCTCTTTAGTGTGCTACAGGTATGGCACTACGTCCATCCTTTTAAGATTCTTTTTCTTATTTTACATTTATTTAACTTTATTTTATGTACATTAGTGTGAAGGTATCAGATCCCTTGGAACTGGAGTTATAGACAGTTGTAAGCTGTCATTGAGTGCTGGGAATTGAACTCAGGACCTCTGGAAGAACAGTCAGTGATCTTAACCACTGAGCTATCTCTCCAACCTTGCTCTAAGATTCTTATATGCAGCACAACAGTTCACAAAGAGCTTCTGTACACCCCGGTGTAGAGTTGGACTCAGTATCATTCAGAGATACCTGGATAGAGAGTGTGCTCCCAGTGATCTAGAGCACTTGGCTCATAAGTGACATGTATTACTCCTTTTCCCTATTACTGGGCTGTACCACTGAGCTGGGTTCCCAGCCCCAGGTCTCAGTCTCCAAAGTGCTGGCATTGTAGGCTTGCACGCCCACCCCCCCACCCCCACTTCATTTTACTGCCTTTGGTGATCTGTGGTAGGATTTGAGTAACTAAGCATTGACTGTGTGATGCTGCAACGATAAACAGCACACTTACTGAAAGTAAAAATAAGTATTTATTGTAGAAATTACTCACAAGAGACCAAGCAAGTAACCCAGATGAGCCGAGTAGTTTTCTGCCGCTGAACTGGAAGCCGAAAGCCGGAAAAAAGAGACTGAGACTTCCGTTGTTCAGTCTTTTATACCTTCCTATGTAACGCCCCTAGCCATGCCCAAAAGTGGGCCTGGCTAGTGACGTAGTTCACTGCCTATGTCCATATATGTCTTTAGTCATGCCTAAAGTGGGTGTGGTTAGTGGTGTGGTAAACCACTCTTTTATTACCTCATCTGTATGCGCCTCTAGTAAGTCACATGGCTAATGGTGGCACATGGCTTCCTCCTACAATTCCCCTTTTAGTCTAAAAAGGATATTTAAACTTAGAACAACTAACTTGTGTCAATGAACAAAATGTATCAAACATCTATCCCATCTAAACCTAAACTTACCTGAAAGAAACACCCAAGTCTGAACACCTCTTTCCAATCCCAACTCTAAAATAATTGAAAACTAACACTAACAGGTGTAAACTATCGTTTTATATCAATAGTAGGGAGAGAGGGTGTTGAATTCTCAAAACTACTTCCTGCTTAGATGGGACAATGACAGTCTCATGGGGACTTGTGAGAAGAAAAATGTTAGTGTAACAAAATCTCAGTAGATCAGACAGTCTCTGTATGGCAGGAGATGCTTGAATGAAGTTCCTGACTAGAGTTCTAGTGTTGATTAAGCTCTCTTCTGAAGCTCTGGCCAGATTGTAGAAGGTGTGCTGTTTCAGTTCCTTGGTCTGGAGTTGTGTCAAGTGATGTAGTTTCAAGCCAGTTTCAGGATAGTGCTTGTCAGGTTGAGTCGATGATGTGGGGCAGTTCAGATGCCTCCAGTCGAATCAGGTGGAGTCAAGGAAGTGGATCCTCATTTTCTTTATGAAGCAGTTGAAGATTACTGTCAGGTATTCCCTTGTTCTCTGGAAAACTCAAACACTAATGTTAACAAAGAAATATTGTAACTTTTATATGTATGCATACTGGAAGAGGTGACAATAGGGAAGATGGTAAACATGAAGGAAATTAGACTTTTCAGAAAAAGAAATCCATAGATAACAGTCCCTAATTTTATTTTCTTCTGTCTTATATCAATGGCTCTTTGATAAAATACAGAAATACAGTTTGTCCTTTTTCATCAGCATTAAGAAAATTCAACGTTAGTAAAGCATTATGTAACCTGTGTTTGGGGGTCTTTGTTCCCCCTGGCTGTTTATGAAGCATCTCTTTTAAGGTTCGTTTAGATCTTCCAATCACTGCTTGTCCTGTGGGATTGTAAGGTATACCAGTTACATGTTTTATATTATAATATTTGAAAAATTATTCCAATTTACTGGTGACATATGCTGGAGCATTGTCAGTTTTTGTTGTTTTAGGTATACCCATAACATCCATCACCTCTAAGAGGTGTATAATAACAGAATCAGCTTTTTCAGAGCTGAGGGCAGTAGCCCATTGGAAGCCTGAGAATGTGTCTATGGTACGGTGTACATATTTCAAACTACCAAATTCTGGGAAGTGAAATACATCCATTTGCAAAAGTTCATTTCTGTGAATAACTTTAGGATTACAACCTGCTGGTAATGGAGTTTGATTGTAGAATGAGCAACTGGGGCAATTTCTTACTATTTCTTTGGTTTGTTGCCAGGTGACAGAGAAATTCTTATTTAAACCTTTGCTGTTAACATGGTGTTTCTTATGAAATTCTGAAACTTCCAACACATTACCTATTAATAAACAATCAATTTCATCATTGCCTTGTGCCAGAGGACCTGGCAGACCTGTATGGGATCTGATGTGTGTTATATATATAGGATGAGTCCTGTTTCTGATGGTTTCCTGTAATTGTAAAAACAATGAGGTTAATTCTGTACTATCAGGAACAAATTCTGCAGTCTCAATGTGCAAGACAACTCTTTCTGCATACTGAGAATCCGTGACTATATTGAGAGGCTCTTAAAGTCTTTAAGTACCATGAGAATGGCATATAACTCTGCCTTTTGTACGGCGTTGTAAGGGCTTTACTTATATTTCCTGATTTATACCCTGCCTTACCTGATTTGTTTGCATCCGTGTAGAAGGTAAGAACTCCAGAAATAGGTGTTTGCCTCACGATACGTGGAAGAATCCAAATTGTTTTCTTTTTTTTTTTTTTTTTTTTTTTTTGGTTTTTCGAGACAGGGTTTCTCTGTATTGTTTTGGAGGCTATCGGTCCAGCCCAGCCTCGAACTCACAGAGATCTGCCTGCCTCTGCCTCCCGAGTGCTGGGATTAAAGGCGTGCACCACCACCGCCCGGCCCACATTGTTTTCTTTATGAATTTGATTCTCTCTGTTTTGGGATAGTTATTACTAATAGTTCCCAAAAAGTCACTGCAAGCTATTTGACAATACTCATTATCCTTCCATAAGGAGGAAATTTCCTCATTTGTTAAAGATACAATAATATCACCTGGGTCTTTCCCAGTCAGTTGACAAAGCCTTAACTTACCTTTTAATATCAAATCAGAGATCTTTTCTATATATGTTTTCAATTTTTTATGCTGTTTATGTGGCAGAAATACCCATTCTAGTATGATGTCTTCCCTCTGCATTAATATTCCTGAGGGGTATTCTCTAGATGGTAAAATAACCAGAATACAGTCTAGTTTTGGATCCACATGTGCTTCTAATATCCTCTTTTCTACCAATTCTAATTCTTTTTCAGCCTCAGCTGATAGTACTCATGGGCTGTTTAGGTCTTTATCTCCTTTTAAATCCATTTTCAGGTGTTTTAAATCATGCCCTTCTACACCGATAATTGTCTGTAATTGAGAGATTTCTCCTAATAGTTTTTGAAGATCATTAAGAGTCTGGTAACGATCTCTTCTGATCTGTACTTTCTGTGGTCTAATTTTCTGAGCATGTATTTTATAACCTAAATAATTAATAGAATCTCCTCTTTGTATTTTTTCTGGGGCAATTTGTAATCCCCAGTGAGGCAAAGTTTCCTTTACTGCTTCAAACATCTTTTCCAAAGTATCCTTATTTGAATCAGACAGTAGTATGTCATCCATATAATGATATATTAACGAATGTGGAAATTTTTTATGAATTATTTCTAGAGGTTTATGCACAAAATATCAACACAAAGTTGGGCTATTTAACATACCTTGAGGTAGTACTTTCCACTGGAATCTCTGTACCGGTCAGGAATTATTATAGGTAGGTACTGTGAAGGTGAACTTTTCTCTGTCGTTTTCTTGTAACGGTATGGTGAAGAAGCAATCTTTTAAGTCAATAACTATAATTGGCCAATCCTTAGGTATTAGAGAAGGTAATGACATCCCAGGTTGTAGAGACCCCATAGGCTGAATTACCTTATTGATGGCTCTAAGATCAGTAACCATTCTCCACTTACCAGAGTTCTTCTTGACAACAAAAACAGGTGAATTCCATGCATTAGTTGATTCCTCAATATGTCCAGCATCTAGCTGTTCCTGAACTAACTTCTCCAAAGTCTCTAACTTCTCAGATATCATAGGCCATTGACCCACCCAGACAGGTTCATCTGTCAGCCATTTTAAGGGTAGAGCTTTTGGTTGCTCTGTAGGTTTGGCACTAGTATCCTGCTTCTGTACAGCCTGTACATTTGGCATCTGTTTTCTGTACTGCCTTACTATATTCTTTCTACCACCAAGAGCTTGTCTATAATTCCTAGCTGATACAGGAGGAATGTTAATCTGCGTATTCCATTGCTGTAATAGATCATGACCCCAGAGGTTTATAGCAATATCTGCAACATATGGCTTTAACCTTCCTCTCTGTCCTTCTGGCCCAATAAAGTCAATCCATCTAACGCTCTGTTTAACTTGAGATAGGGTTCCAATCCCTAAGAATTGAACCTTAACCTCTTTTAAAGACCAAATTGGGGGCCAAGACTTCTGATTAATGATGGTGACATCACTTCCGGTGTCCAAAATGCCGTTAATCATCATATTATTTACTTTAACTGGTAACTTGGGTCTATGATATTGTATAGAAGTTTGCCAAAATATACGTTTTGTATTTCCTCCTGATGTAATTGATTCATCCTCTGGAGCTAATGTATTATCCAGTGCCGTATTATTTACAATGGGCAGTGGATCTTCTAATTGTCCTGGCAGAGGCTGTCCTCCACTGTTACTGGGAATGACCGGATAATCTTGCTTTTTGGGGCCATCCTGAGGCCCCTGCTTAAGTTTCCCGGCTGTAAAGGTCTACCTTGTCTATTTGTAGTCGACCAGCATTTGTTGGTCCTATGTCTGCCCTTTCCACACCTCCTGCAGAGACCAGGAAGCTGAGGCCTTCTGTCTGATGCATTCCTGGTAAAAGCATTTTTTCTAGGAATGCGTTGTCTACAGTTCCTACTCAGATGTCCTATTTTACCACAGTTAAAGTATGTGGCATCTTTATGTCTGTTAAAATTTTTGGAGATTGCCTCCCCTACCCAGGCCTCTATATCGTCACAGGTAGGGTATTTGGCATCCTGGTGCCTCCTCAAGCCTGTAGAAATAGCTTCACCTACCCAAGCTCCCGTATCCTGACTTTTATATTCCAGATTCACTGTATATAGGACCCATTCCTTCAATGGCGCTGATCTTATTTTTAATGGCCAAAGTACCTGCTTGCATTGTGGATTTGCGTTCTCATATGCCAAAGATTCTAGAAGGAGTCGCCTAGATTCTGGATTTGCTACTTGTACTTCTATTGCTCTGGATAATCTCTCTAAAAATTCAGTGAACCTTTCCCTTGGACCCTGTGCTACCTTGGTATAGTGTTGCATTATCTCTCTTGTTTCACAAACCTTATCCAAAGCATTCAAAGCAGCTGTACGGCATAAAGACAACCATGTGCTCATCATATGCAGACTGAACCTGCGGGTCAGCATAAGCACCCTCCCCAAGAATCTTGTCTTGGGGCGCTTCATGACCGTTCTTTAATCCTGAATCTCTTAGGCTTTCGCCTCTTGCCTCCATAAAGCTCTCCATTGAATTTGACAAGAATTTTTGAGCACTGCTG